TAAAGCTGTTAAATAAAAAGAGAGGACCAGAAGAGAAGAGGGTCAGGGGAGACAGAAACAAGGCAGGAAGGGTGGCTCCTGAAGGCTCTGCCTCACTAGGTAGGCTTCCTGGGTGAGCTGAACTACGGCTTCTGCTTTCAGAATGAGGTATCCCAAGTATTCCTGTACTTGAATATTAAGCCTACTTCCACCAGGACTTCTGGAAGTATTCGTGTCTACATCATTATTAAAAGCACAGATTTTGGGAAACTGTAAGAACAAGTACTAGATCATTTTCCTAAGAGCTAAGGAAACTGGAATGACCAGATCGGTGGCTGTCTTGACTTAAAACCTTGTGTGTTTCTGTCCTTTTCATTGCCATCTTGACTTTTTAAATGAGAGTCCGTGTTTGTGGGGAGATCCTCCATTTGCTGCAGAGTTCTTGGTGAGTCCTGCCATATATAACTTAGGAGGGTCTACTGATTTTGGAACTTCTTTTCTATGCCTGGATTACCTCTTATGCTGTGCTTCACATCTCCAGAGCCAAGGTTCTCATGTTGACGTCTGGATGTGTAAAATAATTATGGCTTGGTTTTAGCTGTTTTTAGCGTTTTAAATTTAGTACTTTGCATCTGGGTCTTCATGGACATTAGCAGAGAAAATAAGCACATAACCTGAAGTTGAGTCAAAAGTATTGGATAGCAGAGATTTTCTTTTTTCACAAATAGAAGCTATGTAGAGATTAGATCAGTGTCAAATTCATAATAGGACTAGATATTGAAAAAGGGCCTCTTGGAGCCCTGGAACATATAATAAGGATAAAGATAAACATCTACAAATTTTATGGAAGGCAGAAATTCATTCAGAAGAACTATAATAAGTGAGTGATGATGGCCTGTGTTTGTTCCTTGGGTGAATTAAATATGTATTTTTATGCCTTTTATAAAGACATGAGCCAAAATACAGGTGTTTAATACAGTTGAACAGAAAACAAGTGATGTCGAATTTTTACCTTCGTGTATATCATCACTACAGCAAATCCTGTAACCACAGTATTTTAAAACAAATTTGTCATGTAAAATATCATTTTAAAATAATGGTTCCCCAAGTAGCTTTGTAAAAGAACCAGATTAGGTAAACAATGATTATTAAGCTTCATGAAATATACAGAGCAAATGGACTTAAACTGGTTTCTATTCTCCCTCCCCCAGCTTCTTCCCCACAGATGCAGTTAATTTTTATAATCCCTTTAGGGTCTGTACATTTTGATATAAGGAAACTAATGGTTCTTCGATACTTGAATCCAAATTAAATTCCTAAAGTTGTTCCCTACTGGCAATTTCTAATAAAATGCAATCCTGAGGAAAGCTCACCAATGGAGGGCTTGTGACACTCATATTTATTCTGGAGTATGATGGAAACATGGGAGGCAGAAGGGACAAAGCTTGGCAAGAGAGCTAGTTTGGGAAGGGACAAACCTGGGTTCTAGCCTCCTACTTCTGCCACGAACCTGCTGTGAAGCCCATTACCTTTTTATTATTATTATTATTTAGTTCAATTTCCTCATCTGTAAAATGAGGGCACCACCACGAGATGATTACTAAAGTCTCTTCCTGCTTTAACAGCCCCTGTTCTCCAAGACTAGCCTGCACTGTCAGCCCGGTGAGCTACCACTGTGAGCTAATGAAGATGGCATAATTGAACTTTCTAGATCTCAGGGAATCTACATGTGTCCTGGGTTTTATTGTCCTGGGAATGTACTTGGGGCTTCTAATGAACAAAATGAGAGTTACCTGTGTACAAAGATCAGGTTTAAGGACAAAGACAGGAGAGTGAGAGGAGAACACAGGAGAATTGACTTAAGAGACAGAGGTTCAAATCTTCCTTTGCCACGAGCTTGATAAGGGTTGGAGTCAGCTCTATTCATTTTAGAAGGGTCTTAGTTTCCTCCTTTCTAAATGGGGGCAGTTTCTTTGTTATCAGAGGATGGGGAAGCACACAGGTAGGTAAATCACAGCTAATATAAAAATCTCCTGTCAGAAGATTCTCACTGTCTCTTTGCATCTGAATCATTAACTGCGTAGATAATGGGACCCGTTCTTCTCTTTGTGCTTTCTGTATCAGCTAGTATGGATATAAGTGAAATAGGGATTCCAAAAAGATAGGCTGCAGAGAGAGAAACCGGAGGCTTTGGGTTAATTCATAGTAGATTTGGGTTGAAGTGGTCAGTGGCTTTTATATCACCAGAATGCGACAGATTTCCCTATCCTCAGGAAGGAAATGTTGGGAAGGCACCCTAACTTGCTAGGGGTGGTTAGTCCTTGAGCTTTTTTATGGGTTTTCGTGCTGGTACTATCAGTTCATCCTGTCCTCATCATTGTGAATAAATTTGGATTGTTCAGACCAATAATATGATGATTAACTTAGGTTTCTGGATTCAGCATTTGTTTGCAGGCTGTGGAGCTTTTTTTCCTTTGGAAAACAATTTTAAGACTGTAAAGATATATCAAATTATCAGGGGACAGACATATGCTTTCCTGCAGCCTCTGTGGGGCTCACAGGTTCAAACACAATCTGTCTGAATCATAAGAACTTTAATTGAATAGATAAAGAGGTCCTCATAATTATAAACGGCAGTAGGTATAACAAGAGGCTAAATGCATAGCTATGGTTTTAATTAGCTGGTGCTTCAAATTAGTAATGCTGGTTTCAGTCAGAAATCGGTGACGTTAGATACTGAAAGTCTCATTGCCGTGGAGTTCGTTCCTCATTAGACCGCGCCGTGTGATGCTTTTCAATACAATGCCATGCTGAGCGAGAAAGGAACAAGTTGGAGATATTTGGTTGCCTTCCAAGAGCAGTGGAACTCTGTGGAGATTAAATTCACTCTCACCAGAGATATGAGAATTAACTGTTCTTTGTCGGACGTGTTAAAAAATGCAGCAGGCAGTTTTGCTTGCAACAGATAACACCCATGTGCACGCTCAATCTGCTATTCAAATTTGTGTCTGGAATTTGGTAGCTAATGAACTGATGCAAAGTGCCCTTACCGCTGGCCACTGAAAGGGTTGTCATACAAGTTGAAACATGTTTCCCTTTCTTCTTCTTCTTCTTCTTCTTCTTCTTCTTCTTCTTCTTC